CCCATCGAGCCCCGTGGAGTCCTATCAAATCCCACCGTGCCCAATTGGTGCATGTTGGGCTTCACACAACACATCGTTTGATCGAAAATCCATGGACTCAATGGAACAAAATCCCAAGAAGTTCCACGAGCTCCCACTCAATGTTAAGTCTATGGAGGTCCGTCCTAACTTGCCCCATTGGTGTATGCTAAGCTTATGGAGGTCCCAACCTGACCAATTGGATGATGCTGAACTTTAAAGAACCATGTTTATGCTAATCCCAAGCCAAGAGACCTAGAACAACTTAAGGCTAACATTTGAAGAGAAAATCAAAACATTCCACCAAATGTGATGGACAATGTTGTAGTAAAGATGCAGACTGTCATAGAAATATGAGGAGGTTAAATTGAACATGTGGTATAAAAGGCTTAAATCATTAAAAAAGCAAGACTGAACTAAAAATTTAGTATTGAGGAGAAAACTTACATGGTTTGTCTGAAAGACCATGCAAAAATATCTGAAAATATTGATTGGTTTATCTTTGCTGTTGATATACTTTTGGGTACATTATTTTGAGACACCCTATATATTTGGCCACGTTACCTCATGGACTTTGATAAAATACAATTACATGATGTAAAAACAGATAACATTGTTTGAGTTTCACTAGGATGAAATATTCATAATTTGGTAAATGAAAATCGATTCATTGCAACAGATATTTATAATCATCATCATAATATATCTCCACCTCCTCTCTACCAATTAAAGGGAGTGGAGGATCCTCAAATCCCTTATATTTTGGACCTCTTATACCTTATGTTTTAGGATTTCTCATACCTTATACCTTTCTCTTCTCATAACTTGTTTTAGGATTTGTTATACATTGCACCTCTCATAATTTATGTTCTAGGATTTGTTAAACGTTGCACATTTTATACCTATGTTTTAGGATTTCATGCACCTTATCCTTTAAAGGATCTGTTACCTAACGTAGTTGAATGTGCCTCCAAAGATTTCATTGAAAATAATATGAAAATAGTTACTTCTACAGTTTTATCAATTATGAACACATCAAAAATGGAATTAAGTCATTTGGATTAAAACTAAGGTCATTCAGTGCATTTAAGTTTGACTTCGCAAATCATTTTAGGGGTATGTTAATCTTCATTCATGATAATTTTAAGTATGTAGACCATTCCTCAATCAAGATATCAGAGCATTGTTAAGGTAGAACACAAATGGTTACATATTAAAAACGTATTTCATAAAAAAAACTAAAAACTTAATATATCCTTTGAAAAATGAACCTTAATAAATGTCTTCTCAAAAATAGTACCATGATAACCTCAGTTGGGATACAGTAGGCATTCAACCTAGAGGGTATATCAAAATACCATTAAGGTATGGCACAAAGGGCAACATACTGAAAACGCAAATCATAAAGTAACCCCTAAAAATTATTAATCATATGATAAATTCAACCTTGTTAAATTTGTTCTGAACAATAGTACCATGATCACCCTAATTGAGGTAGCTTTAACATTACTGTAGCTTTAATCAACCTCGGTATTCAACCTAGATACTTTGTCAAAACATCATTCAAGAGAAAGTAGAACACAAAGAGCAACAGTTGGAAATACAAAATCTAAATTCAAGCTTAATCTAGTTGCGACTTTCCATTGCATTATATTTTCTTTGGCATTGTCAAAAAAATTAAAACAATGATAGATGACATAATGGTCTTATTTTATTTCATATGAGCACTTAACAAGCAATATTTATTCAAACAAATGACTAGTAGGCCTATACTATGTCCCGATCTCATGTACATTTACGTTGCAAACCGTGAAAATAATGCTAAAACGGCCGCCTGTTGATGCTTTGAGGTGTCTTCAATTGTCATTTAATCCAAATAAAGTAAACATTATTTTGTATATTTAGACTCAGGCTTTCAGGTCGTATATGCATTTTCACGATGCCCATGTCAAGCAGCGTGCCTACTAGTCAATTTTGCAAAATATGCAAAATTGACCGAATTATTCAACTTTCTTACGGTCCTGTTTTTTGGACACCCTGTACCATCAAAATGATTTCAATTGTACAAATAAAGCATACAAACCGAGCAAATTTTTACTGTTTGATTGGGAAATAACGTCAAAATGGTCCCTAATTTATGATATAAATCAGAGAATTTTGAACATGTGAAAGTTCAGTGATGCAATGACACGTGAAAATTAGATCAGATCTTTCTGAAACGATGAAAACATCAATTTATCACCCTCGTGCTGTACCTTACCCGCGCGTTCAACTGCCACGCTTAATTTTGTAAAGCCCCTGTGATAAAGAATATCAGGTACTGGTGGAACGAAAAAAATGTTGATAAAAATTGCAATACCTGCACATGTTATTTTCTGGTACAAAACAAAGTATGGAAGCATGTGTGTCCATGTATGTCTGCTTTTTTCAAGAAAGCATCATTACATTGTTTTCTTTTAGTAGACCTGGTATGAGGTCAATGGTCACTCCAGGAAATGTTGATATTTCAAGCTTTCTAATTTTCCAAATTTCTTCTCAAAGCTTCTTGACAACACTGGAGTTACCAATGACCTTCCAGGTTTTCTAGAAGAAGACAATGTAATGATAATTTCCTGAAGTGGAAGGGAATCCATCTCGTATATACCTTCATACTTTATTTTGTACCACAAATAACATGTGCAGTATCACACCGAAATAGCCTGACAACGATAAAGTCACACAGCGTTGCCACTAATGGCGGACTACTTAACCGTCGCTTCAATTAGATTTCCATGAACTGTATGTTTAATAAAGCACCTAGACTAAATTCCTTTGGAACAACAATCAATCAAAGTGCCTTTATACTCATTGTGCAGTTAATAATGTTTTACCATCGAAATAACGTCTTTAATTTAACCGATCAAAATGAGATACGGGACAACGGACATTGTACCATATGTCGTTGTCTTTGTAAATTATTTCAAATTCAGATTCCGAAGTCATTGACGACATCGAAGACGCTATATTGTAGCGATTCACGACCCAATTTGATCGAAATTGGGATTTCATATGATACACAATCACAAGAGCTACTTGCACAGAATTAGCGACGATAAAATCCCATGAAATGAGGACCAAGTGATTCAAGAGTTGAAGCGACGGTTATGTCCGCCATTTGTGACAACGGTATCTGACTTTACCGTTTTCAGGCTATTCCGGTGTGAGTATAGCATTTTTTCAAAAATGAATGAGTTCAATAATGTCTGAGCATGTTATAAAGCGCAATGAAAAATTGCAAGGTGGGATGAGTACCTAACTGAAATCGAAATTAACTATTAATATATCAATGTTTTGGGGAGATTTTGTGGATCGCAAAATATAACGTATCACTGATTTATGGTAAAACTAATGAACATTGTAACATGATTTTAACCTTTGATACTTTTAACATTTTATTAGTTTTATTGATTGATTCCAATTAAAGTCATTTTAATATGATAAATGGAAATAACATTTCAGGTTTAATAACATAAATTAGGTGTGGCAACAGAAGGCCAAATGGTTCTACATAATCATATTTCAAAAGCAAACCAGTGCTACATTTTCAATCATTCACTTTAAGAATTTGGAACAAAGTAGTAAATAAATGTGATTTTGTAAAATAACAAAAGCTTAGAGGGAGAATCAGATCTATCGGGAGTGACCAAATTACAAGCAACATGTTCCTTACAATTTCAATACGTTATAATTAATTCTCCCAACTAATACAAATGGTGACCATAAAATAAAATAAATGAATGCATTAATGTAAAAATCTTTTTTCCAAAATACAGCACTAGTTTACTTTTAGTATTTTTAGAAAACAGGCATGACAAGGAGTGATATGCGCCCAAGATTTTATAAAATTGAAACACTTCATGTCAAGAGTACTACTCATCTGGAATCTGGATCTTGCTAGATATGATTCTGCCTTTAAATGCACACATACATTACACAAATAACATCCATTTTAACAAATAGAATAATTGAAATATTCAATCTCCAGAAAGCGAAAGTTTTTACCGTTGTGTCTCCTTGAAAATACGATCCAGTCAACAGTGATTTTATTTCATATTGTATCATTCTGTCATTGTATTGTATAAAGCCCAAGGCTTGCTAATAGTACATAGTGCTTGCTAAAGTAACAAAGTTTTGTGAATTTTTGCTCAGTCCTTTTAGGACGTCATAACCACACAATGCATATACATATATTGCACTAGCTGCACATATCAAGATGAACAGGACACACAACGATAAAAAGGTTTTTGTAGCTTACAATGAATGTAAAAATGGCCAATTCCAAATGAAGGGGATATCTCAATACTACAGTTCAAGTTGGAATAACAGGAAAGTGAGTTAATTCTAAAGGAACATAATTATTTGTTTGCCATTTTAAACTCTGAAATGAAAATAAGTACATAGTATTTGGACATGAACGCCTGACTGCAAATTGTAATCAGTATAACTGGTCCCCACCTGGTTATAAAGACGTAAAAAAATGGGTGAACTTCCGTGGGAGAAAATTTGTAAGATGCTTGATTACTTGATTTGTATCCATATATTGTACTCGTATGTTTATTTTACTATTATTGAATAGCATCTGGTTATGGAAAAGCTAGTATGTCACTCAGTCACAAACAAATATATCCAACTGCTCCAATAATCGAGTGAGGATTCAACATCTTGGTTGAGTTGTGTTAATGTCCAGCAGGCTGCTATGTAACAACTTTAAAACGTCTTTATAGCTCGGTGGGGACCATTGAATGAAAACCCCCAAACATATCAACATGTCCTAATATTTTGAGTATGTTACACTTATATATTAGCTTATATCTTACACTAGTTATTCAATCAAAGTACTTGCTTGGATATCTCATTTTTGCCCAGCTACTCACTTATTCCCTATGTGTCTTAAAAAGTGTCTGTCCAACATGAATTCCATTACCTTAATGGACTAAATACAATTATTTTCTACATTTCTTGCTGGTATTACACACGATTCTAACAGAACCATCGGCATCAAGTTTTAAGGAGCAGCATCTAAGTTTTGACATTTTCCTGTAGAAGCTTGGTGCACATTTGTTCTCTGTTGTTTTTGGATTCGGTTTCAATACTCTCATCTTCTTTTTGTCTTCACAGATGTAAATGATTTCTTGCTTTGTCTGGTCGGTTTTTGTCAGCAATCCGCGTAGGCTTGATGAGTTACATTGTGGGTATGTGGCCACTCTAGTTTTGAATACATCTTCACAGTCAATCTCTCCTTTGTTCCAGTTTCTGTTTGTTATGCAAACAGCATTCACCTTGGTTGAGTTAGCTCTGAAATAAGAATGTTGCTCAATTAAAATAGCGAACATTTGATATGAAGAAATGTATTTTTTAATTTGCCTTATTGGCATATTTCTATCATGTTATGTCCACAATTGTACTAAAATTCTGATGAAATATTTTTTGTTCGGTGGGATTTGCTACTGTTTGGAATTGCTGTTTTTTAAGTATTGCGTATGGACCTGTAAGCATCAAATGTTGAAATGAAAAGACTTCTCATTTTGTTTTTGTTTACATAGTACATATATGGGGTATATAATAAAACAAATAGTGACTGCCATATTTTCGGGAAATAGTGTAAAATTTTTCCCCTCAAGAATATCCTGTCCACTGACATGTTCCCTCGGCCTGCAGCCCCGGGAACACCTCAGTGGACAGGGTATTCCCGAGGGGAAAAATATTTTACTGCTTTCACATGTAAGTAAACCTTTTTGAACCCAGTCCCTTATTTCCAATTCTATAGATAAATGAAAATTTAAAGCATAATTTAGACTGGAACACTAAAAATATTTGTATGGAATGGAATGACTTTTGCGATTCTATAGTAAGATTTGAAAGTATTATATTTACTCACATGAAAGAACCATCTTGCAATAGTGTTATAGGATTAGTAAGGTAGCAGCAATTTGCATGGACATCGCTAAAACAATGTCCTGTCTTTCCTTTTCTTTGTGGGCAGCTAGCTTCCAGTTTGACTTTACATGTGTTTGCTTCCTTATGTCTTTCAAAATCTTCTAAGGCAGTTGCACTCAATTCAGGTACTGGCCAAAAATTTATTTCTGAGCTCACTGCAGCCATCATCGCATACAAATCTACCATTGGGGGTATGGTAGTATCTTCGGACATGACACTAGCTGACATATATGTTAGAAGCAGCAATACCTTCAACAGCATGTTGTTATTTTGTTATACACCTAAAAACAATATTTAAGGATTTAAGCCCTTGGCAGTGCATTGCGGACTGAATCATTCAAAAATATGTTTTTTCAACCTCTGCACAAGATATGCAGCATCGAGTGTGAAGTTAGGAAACAATGCCTGAGTGGAATTAATCAGCCACAATACATTAAGCCTAAGGCTTACGTAATCACTTAAAAGAGCACATTTTCAAGGAAACCTTTTTTACCGGGTTAAGTTGTCAACATCTGAATTAATTTCAATCTGATCCGGGTTATGTACATCCTCCCTATGAATATTATATTTACTTTCTTTTTCTCATAGTTTATATAATATTTTCAGATATTCTTTCAATTTGAGCCAGTTCATTCTTAAACAGAACTAATTTCTCTACTTTAAATTGCAACTTCTAGATTTTGATGTTAATTGTCTGCATTTCGACTGAATATACAAGCGGTGAGGGAGTGACCTTCAAATATTGAAATTCATATGACCCTCGATGAGTTGTTGGTTAAACCTAGTTCACACCAACGGCGAATGCCACGCTTTAAATCGGTGAGCAAAGCGGCGTCATTTTTGTTTAATTTTAGCTAAGTTCACACCAACGGCGCTTTGACTTGTTACGCTCTGTTACGTCGAGATCGCCGATTCCATGATCAGCGCCTATATAAAGCTAAGTTCACAGCAACGGCGCTTTGATGGCGCTTTAATTGGGCGTGCAAAGCGACTTTACACGTCGCACTAAAGCGCCACCAAAGCGCCGTTGGTGTTAAGAAAAATGATCAATAGTACCCACGATCAGTAACATAATCATACTTTTATTTTTGTTACATGAAGGTTTTGAGAGAAATATTGAAGTAAGTTGTTGCCATTTTTTTTAGTAAATTGACTTTTTAATTTCATTAACTTTTTAAATCAATGTGAGATATCATTCTAACTGATATAAAAGGATATTCAACATTTCTTGAAGCAACCAAAAAGCAGATCTGGTATAATATAGATTTGAAGACCTGATTAAAATTTCGTACTTACCTCTTGCGGCCTCTCACTTCAGGTAAACATCTCGAAATCCATCAATTTACAAATCCAGATAATACAGAGCGTCTCAAAAATATACCCATAATAGTATATCAACAGCACAGATGAACCAGAAATTTTTCAGACATTTTTGCATGGTCATGTAGCTGAAACATGTACATTTTTCCCCAATATAGTTTTTAGTTCAGTCTTGCCGTTTTGATGTTTTTTTGACCATTTGCTTTTTATTTCATATTTCGATGACAGCATGCACCCTTATGGTATATTGTTCATCACATTTGATAATGTTTCCGTTGACATGGTTTGAATTTCTCTTTGGATGTTGGCCTTAAGTGTTCTAGGTCTTTTGGCTTGGGATTAGCTTTAAAATGCTAGTCCCAAAATAACGGAGGTCCACCTTCCAGAGTTATGGAGACCGATTGAAATCCCATTTGCCCCATCAAGTCCCATCTTGCCCCATCGAATAACACGAAGTCCCATGGGACCTTGATGACTTTGCCCCATCGAGTCCAATCGAGTCCCATCAAATCTCACCTTGCCCCATTTGTGTATGTTTGGATTGATACAATACGTCACATGATCGAAAATCCCACGATACCCCATGGAAAGAATGAACATGTTCATACTCGACGTTCAGTCAACGTCTGAGCTCTATGTGTAAAGACATTGTGAGGGCCTCCCTATTCAACAGATTTGAAACCCTGGAGTTTTTCTCTGGGGTAACTTAAGCCCAGTATACACCAATGGGGCAAAATCCCACTTGCCCCATCGAGTCCCATCTTGCACCTTCGAATCCCAACTTGCCCCATCGAATTCCACGAAGTCCCATGGGACCTTGATGGCTCTGCCCCTTCGTGCCCCATGGAGTCCCATCGAGCCCCGTGGAGTCCAATCAAATCCCACCGTGCCCAATTGGTGCATGTTGGGCTTCACACAACACATCGTTTGATCGAAAATCCATGGACTCAATGGAACAAAATCCCAAGAAGTTCCACGAGCTCCCACTCAATGTTAAGTCTATGGAGGTCCGTCCTAACTTGCCCCATTGGTGTATACTAAGCTTATGGAGGTCCCAACCTGACCAATTGGATGATGCTGAACTTTAAAGAACCATGTTTATGCTAATCCCAAGCCAAGAGACCTAGAACAACTTAAGGCTAACATTTGAAGAGAAAAACAAAACATTCCACCAAATGTGATGGACAATGTTGTAGTAAAGATGCAGACTGTCATAGAAATATGAGGAGGTTAAATTGAACATGTGGTATAAAAAGGCTTAAATCATTAAAAAAGCAAGACTGAACTAAAAATTTAGTATTGAGGAGAAAAATTACATGGTTTGTCTGAATGACCATGCAAAAATATCTGAAAATATTGATTGGTTTATCTTTGCTGTTGATATACTTTTGGGTACATTATTTTGAGACACCCTATATATTTAGCCACGTTTCCTCATGGACTTTGATAAAATACAATTACATGATGTAAAAACAGATAACATTGTTTGAGTTTCACTAGGATGAAATATTCATAATTTGGTAAATGAAAATCGATTCATTGCAACAGATTTTTATAATCATCATCATAATATATCTCCACCTCCTCTCTACCAATTAAAGGGAGTGGAGGATCCTCAAATCCCTTATATTTTGGACCTCTTATACCTTATGTTTTAGGATTTCTCATACCTTATACCTTTCTCTTTTCATAACTTGTTTTAGGATTTGTTATACATTGCACCTCTCATAATTTATGTTTTAGGATTTGTTAAACGTTGCACATTTTATACCTATGTTTTAGGATTTCATGCACCTGATCCTTTAAAAGATCTGTTACCTAACGTAGTTGAATGTGCCTCCAAAGATTTCATTGAAAATAATATGAAAATAGTTACTTTTACAGTTTTATCAATTATGAACACATCAAAAATGGAATTAAGTCATTTGGATTAAAACTAAGGTCATTCAGTGCATTTAAGTTTGACTTCGCAAATGATTTTAGGGGTATGTTAATCTTCATTCATGATAATTTTAAGTATGTAGACCATTCCTCAATCGATATATCAGAGCATTGTTAAGGTAGAACACAAATGGTTACATATTAAAAACGTATTTCATAAAAAACTAAAAACTTAATATATCCTTTGAAAAATGAACCTTAATAAATGTCTTCTCAAAAATAGTACCATGATAACCTCAGTTGGGATACAGTAGGCATTCAACCTAGAGGGTATATCAAAATACCATTAAGGTATGGCACAAAGGGCAACATACTGAAAACGCAAATCATAAAGTAACCCCTAAAAATTATTAATCATATGATAAATTCAACCTTGTTAAATTTGTTCTGAACAATAGTACCATGATCACCCTAATTGAGGTAGCTTTAACATTACTGTAGCTTTAATCAACCTCGGTATTCAACCTAGATACTTTGTCAAAACATCATTCAAGAGAAAGTAGAACACAAAGAGCAACAGTTGGAAATACAAAATCTAAATTCAAGCTTAATCTAGTTGCGACTTTCCATTGCATTATATTTTCTTTGGCATTGTCAAAAAAATTAAAACAATGATAGATGACATAATGGTCTTATTTTATTTCATATGAGCACTTAACAAGCAATATTCATTCAAACAAATGACTAGTAGGCCTATACTATGTCCCGATCTCATGTACATTTACGTTGCAAACCGTGAAAATAATGCTAAAACGGCCGCCTGTTGATGCTTTGAGGTGTCTTCAATTGTCATTTAATCCAAATAAAGTAAACATTATTTTGTATATTTAGACTCAGGCTTTCAGGTCGTATATGCATTTTCACGATGCCCATGTCAAGCAGCGTGCCTACTAGTCAATTTTGCAAAATATGCAAAATTGACCGAATTATTCAACTTTCTTACGGTCCTGTTTTTTGGACACCCTGTACCATCAAAATGATTTCAATTGTACAAATAAAGCATACAAACCGAGCAAATTTTTACTGTTTGATTGGGAAATAACGTCAAAATGGTCCCTAATTTATGATATAAATCAGAGAATTTTGAACATGTGAAAGTTCAGTGATGCAATGACACGTGAAAATCAGATCTTTCTGAAACGATGAAAACATCAGTTTATCACCCTCGTGCTGTACCTTACCCGCGCGTTCAACTGCCACGCTTAATTTTGTAAAGCCCCTGTGATAAAGCATATCAGGTACTGGTGGAACGAAAAAAATGTTGATAACAATTGCAATACCTGCACATGTTATTTTCTGGTACAAAACAAAGTATGGAAGCATGTGTGTCCATGTATGTCAGATTTTTTCAAGAAAGCATCATTACATTGTTTTCTTTTAGTAGACCTGGTATGAGGTCAATGGTCACTCCAGGAAATGTTGATATTTCAAGCTTTCTAATTTTCCAAATTTCTTCTCAAAGCTTCTTGACAACACTGGAGTTACCAATGACCTTCCAGGTTTTCTAGAAGAAGACAATGTAATGATAATTTCCTGAAGTGGAAGGGAATCCATCTCGTATATGCCTTCATACTTTATTTTGTACCACAAATAACATGTGCAGTATCACACCGAAATAGCCTGACAACTTAACCGTCGCTTCAATTAGATTTCCATGAACTGTATGTTTAATAAAGCACCTAGACTAAATTCCTTTGGAACAACAATCAATCAAAGTGCCTTTATACTCATTGTGCAGTTATTTATTTCCAAAGAACATGTGTACGTTTTATAGATTTTATTACATAAAATATAACATATTACAATTTAACCTTTTTGGCATGGGGAGACGGCTATCTATCGATCAGAGCTTGCGTAATTGTGGGGGCGGGTAAGCGTCCAACTTCCTCAAGATGCAAAGCTAAAACTGTGTAAACCAAACTACTACAGAACAGTTGTTATAGCATTAAGATAAGTTATTGTCCCGGCCTAATTGGATCTGTCAACAGACTTTTAATTGGGCTGGTAGGACAGACACCGTTCTCTGTGATATAAACCAGATTTAACAAATACTTGTTAAATCACAATTTATATCCAAAGAACATGTGTACGTTTTATAGATTTTATTACATAAAATATAACATATTACAATTTAACCTTTTTGGCATGGGGAGACGGCTATCTATCGATCAGAGCTTGCGTAATTGTATACCAAAGAAACGATTACGTAATCATGAGATAATGTTACGTAATGACAGCGCAAAATCATGATTATGCAACCTTATATAATCATTAATCTTTGGGATAAGAGCCCAAAAACTGTGTAAACCAAACTACTACAGAACAGTTGGTATAGCATTAAGATAAGTTATTGTCCCGGCCTAATTGGATCTGTCAACAGACTTTTAATTGGGCTGGTAGGACAGACACCGTTCTCTGTGATATAAACCAGATTTAACAAATACTTGTTAAATCACAATTTATATCCAAAGAACATGTGTACGTTTTATAGATTTTATTACATAAAATATAACATATTACAATTTAACCTTTTTGGCATGGGGAGACGGCTATCTATCGATCAGAGCTTGCGTAATTGTATACCAAAGAAACGATTACGTAATCATGAGATAATGTTACGTAATGATAGCGCAAAATCATGATTATGCAACCTTATATAATCATTAATCTTTGGGATAAGAGCCCAAAAACAAGTATACTCGTGAACGGAGTTTAAATAAAAGCTCTGTGAACGATAGGATACGCCGTTCCTGGAACAACAATCAATCAAAGTGCCTTTATACTCATTGTGCAGTTAATAATGTTTTACCATCGAAATAACGTCTTTAATTTAACCGATCAAAATGAGATACGGGACAACGGACACTGTACCATATGTCGTTGTCTTTGTAAATTATTTCAAATTCAGATTCCGAAGTCATTGACGACATCGAAGACGCTATATTGTAGCGATTCACGACCCAATTTGATCGAAATTGGGATTTCATATGATACACAATCACAAGAGCTACTTGCACAGAATTAGCGCCGATAAAATCCCATGAAATGAGGACCAAGTGATTCAAGAGTTGAAGCGACGGTTATGTCCGCCATTTGTGACAACGGTATCTGACTTTACCGTTTTCAGGCTATTCCGGTGTGAGTATAGCATTTTTTTCAAAAATGATTGAGTTCAATAATGTCTGAGCATGTTATAAAGCGCAATGAAAAATTGCAAGGTGGGATGAGTATCTAACTGAAATCGAAATTAACTATTAATATATCAATGTTTTGGGGAGATTTTGTGGATCGCAAAATATAACGTATCACTGATTTATGGTAAAACTAATGAACATTGTAACATGATTTTAACCTTTGATACTTTTAACATTTAATTAGTTTTATTGATTGATTCTGATTAAAGTCATTTTAATATGATAAATGGAAATAACATTTCAGGTTTAACAACATAAATTAGGTGTGGCAACAGAAGGCCAAATGGTTCTACATAATCATATTTCAAAAGCAAACCAGTGCTACATTTTCAATCATTCACTTTAAGAATTTGGAACAAAGTAGTAAATAAATGTGATTTTGTAAAATAACAAAAACTTAGAGGGAGAATCAGATCTATCGGGAGTGACCAAATTACAAGCAACGCGTTCCTTACAATTTCAATACGTTATAATTAATTCTCCCAACTAATACAAATGGTGACCATAAAATAAAATAAATGAATGCATTAATGTAAAAAAAAATTTCCAAAATACAGCACTAGTTTACTTTGAGTATTTTTAGAAAACAGGCATGACAAGGAGTGATATGAGCCCAAGATTTTATAAAATTGAAACACTTCATGTCAAGAGTACTACTCATCTGGAATCTGGATCTTGCTAGATCTGATTCTGCCTTTAAATGCACACATACATTACACAAATAACATCCATTTTAACAAATAGAATAATTGAAATATTCAATCTCCAGAAAGCGAAAGTTTTTACCGTTGTGTCTCCTTGACAATACGATCCAGTCAACAGTGATTTTATTTCATATTGTATCATTCTGTCATTGTATTGTATAAAGCCCAAGGCTTGCTAATAGTACATAGTGCTTGCTAAAGTAACAAAGTTTTGTGAATTTTTGCTCAGTCCTTTGAGGACGTCATAACCACACAATGCATATACATATATTGTACCAGCTGCACATATCAAGATGAACAGGACACACAATGATAAAAAGGTTTTTGTGGCTTACAATGAATGTAAAAAATGGCCAATTCCAAATGAAGGGGATATCTCAATACTGCAGTTCAAGTTGGAATAACAGGAAAGTGAGTTAATTCTAAAGGAACATAATTATTTGTTTGCCATTTTTAACTCTGCAATGAAAATAAGAAGTAACACAAAGGCACATAGTATTTGGACATGAACGCCTGACTGCAAATTGTAATCAGTATAACTGGTCCCCACCTGGTTATAAAGACGTAATAAAATGGGTGAACTTCCGTGGGAGAAAATTTGTAAGATGCTTGATTACTTGATTTGTATCCAAATATTGTACTCGTATGTTTATTTTACTATTATTGAATAGCATCTGGTTATGGAAAAGCTAGTATGTCACTCAGTCACAAACAAATATATCCAACTGCTCCAATAATCGAGTGAGGATTCTTGGTTGAGTTGTGTTAATGTCCAGCAGGCTGCTATGTAACAACTTTAAAACGTCTTTATAGCTCGGTGGGGACCATTGAATGAAAAACCCCAAACATATCAACATGTCCTAATATTTTGAGTATGTTACACTTATATATTAGCTTATATCTTACACTAGTTATTCAATCAAAGTACTTGCTTGGATATCTCATTTTTGCCCAGCTGCTCACTTATTCCCTATGTGTCTTAAAAATTGTCTGTCCAACATGAATTCCATTACCTTAATGGACTAAATACAATTATTTTCTACATTTCTTGCCGGTTTTACACACGATTCTAACAGAACCATCGGCATCAAGTTTTAAGGAGCAACATCCAAGTTTTGACATTTTCCTGTAGAAGCTTGGTGCACATTTGTTCTCCATTGTTTTTGGATTCGGTTTCAATCCTCTCATCTTCTTTTTGTCTTCACAGATGTAAATGATTTCTTGCTTTATCTGGTCGGTTTCTGTCAGCAATCCACGTAGGCTTGATGTGTTACATTGTGGGTATTTTGCCACTCTAGTTTTGAATACATCTTCACAATCAATCTCTCCTTTGTTCCAGTTTCTGTTTGTTATGCAAACAGCATTCACCTTGGTTGAGTTAGCTCTAAAATAAGAATTTTGCTCAATTAAAATAGCCAACATTTGTAATGAAGAAATGTATTAAAAAAAAATATATATCAGATATAAGATTTGCCTAATTGGCATATTTCTATCATGTAATGTCCAAAATAACTAGAACTCTGATGAAATACAGGGAGACACAGAAATGCCACCCACCTTACGTTGCATAACTTGTTTGTCAATTAACATATAGACTTGTCCTTACACATTTAAAGTAGACATAATGCTAAAGCAACTTAAGAAGTTTCAGATGTGTACCTCGAGTGGGTCAAATGTTATGAGCGTTACAAGATTTGCTCAGAATATCGCTCATCATTTGTCAGGCAAACCTGCAAACCTGGATTCTGCACAAAAATGCCACCTACCTTTTGTAACACACTGTGTAAATACTAAAGATTTTTGCTTGTGCTTTCAGGGAAAAAAAGTCCGATCAATCACAAAATGATATAGTTGTCATTGATAAAATCATTATTACTGTTTTCCAAAATTGTATTACAAAAGGTGGGTGTCATTTTTGGGTAAAGGAATAGACTTACCTCAGTAAAGAAAAAAGGTGCATGCATATGATCTTTTATCATTCATAACATTTTCAAAATTTTGTATGATATTACTAAACTCTTGGAGGCACAGGGTGTAAATATTGTGAATAAGTGGTGGGAATTTGAAAAAACTAGATGAAAATTTAAAAAAAGTTAGCAATGGTTAAATATGTTGTCTCACAAATTCACTAATGTGACTTTTTCCATTATTAAATTACGTCATAAATGCAGAGACTATAAAGTAGCTTCTCTGCAAATATCATTGTTGTGGGAGTGTGGGCTCACCACTTAAACTTAACTTTTTTGATGCTGCCTTATATTTTATGATATATATTGAAATTCAAATATGGGAACTGCAAATTGGCAAATAACTTTAAAACTAAGTCTCCATACAGACATTTAATTTCAAATTCCAATGCAAATGCCAATGGGCATTTATTAAAAGTGACCCTATAACTGTTTAGAATATGGCAAACATGTTTAGAAAACTGGCGAGAAGCAATTGAAATAAGAAAATCCATTCTCATGGAAGTGCCCTTGTGTGCATTTAATTGCAGCCATATTATCCTAATTGCCCATGGGCATTTAAAATAATAATCACATCCCAACTCTTAAAACATGCTTATATTAGGATACTGTTGGAAAAAGGCAACAAAAAGGCAATGCCCATGCCCATATGGGGATTTATTCTCAAGATTTTCATGTAATTGCCCGTGAGAATTTATTAAAAATATTTTTATTTCTATTCACATGTCTTATTATCAGTCACAATCAAAATTAAGCCAATTGCTTTCATTTCTTGTTTTAGAAAACGGCAACATTTTGACAAAAATACCATCTCTCAAAGTTGACCTTTAAACCACCCTAATGTCAAGGTCAAATGTCAAAATTCTCAGAAATTACATTTTAAGTAATAAGTCATACTTCCTCTTCAATTCCATGTCAATATATACTTGTTTTGTAGGGGGGCTAAAAGAGGGGTTTACCGCCACCTGTCCTTTTCTCCATTTGGCCAAAGTATACATACATCATACCTCTGAATGTTTGGTCTGATAATAACAAAAAATAAAAAGATTTGATGGGTAAAAGACACTGCACATTTTTTTCTTTACAGAGGGTACACATTTTGTAACGCTCATAAATCTGCATTTATTTGAGCTAGTCATCTGAAACATATTGTTGAGTTGCACCATGGATGCTAGTTTTAATGTGCCATAACACAAGTCAGAATATTTGCCAACAAAAAAGTTATGGAACATTATGTGGGTTGGTGGCATTTTTGTGTCACCCGGTATCTTTTGTTTGGTGGGATTTGCTACTCTTTAGAGTTGCTGATTTTAGGTTTGCGTTAACTTAAATTTTGTTTGATTGATTTATATGTATCACATTATGCTTTATGCATGTAAGTAAATGAAGTACAACTTTTTAAAATCAGTCCTCTATTTTCAATATTATAGATAAATATAAAGGATTGGTATCGATATGGTGAACTGAATTCAACAATGTTTTTCTCTTAAACCAATTATTGAAAATATTACATGGTCCTTTATGTAATTTTGACCGATTGACAACAATTTAATGCGAAAATTATTTATATATATTTTAATATAAATGTTTTTGTTAATTTTTTTTGTTTTTTAGTGCAATTGTTTTTTGTTCCTTTTTACTAATTTTTGAGAATGAAATAAAATATCTTTATGAAGCTTGCATTGGAACAAAATAGCATATACAACATTTTCTTAAACCTCTCAATATTATAGTTTTAAGAATTCTTTGATGACTGGTTTAAGAGAAACGTGTGTTCAAAAGGTTCACTATATCGATTCCATCCTTTAAAGCAGGTGAGAGGCCTGCAGCATTACAAATATTTGTTCAGAATGAATGACTTTTGCGATTCTATAGTAAGATTTGAAAGTATTATGTTTACTCACATGAAAGAACCATCTTCCAATTTCGTCATAGGATTAGTAAGGTAGCAGCAATTTGCATGGACATCGCTAAAACAATGCCCTGTCTTTCCTTTTCTTCGTGGGCAGCCAGCTTCCAGTTTGACTTTACATGTGTTTGCTTCCTTATGTTTTTCAAAATCTTCTAAGGCAGTTGCACTCAATTCAGTTCCTGTCCTTATACCAGGTGAAATACTTTCTGAGCTCAATGCAGCCATACCCGCACTTAAATCTACCATTGAGGGCATGGTAGTTTGGGACATGACACTAGCTGACGCACATGCCAGAAGCAGCAAAATCTCCAACATCATGTTCTTGGTCGGTTATATGTTATATTCCTAAAGTGATGCACCTAAAACAATATTAGCATATCATCAACTGTAGTCAGATAACATATTATATAATTTTAAGTGAATAGGTGAGGCAAATGAAGCCTCAGTGAGTCATCATTACAATATAATATTGTACTTTATTTCAACAATATGATAACGTTCAGGCTTAATTTGAAAAGAGAGGCTACCTTTGTGAGTGTGTCCATATGTATTAATTAAAAACGGTCAAAAATCTGGTATATAACCTCCCCTCCCCTATGACCCCTACTTTGAATCGAATTCATGAATCCTTCCTGATGTTTGCCTCTTTGTTGAATAACTTTTTCTCAATCATCAATGTTGCAATCACAAAGCTCTTAGTAATTCCAAGTCAAATTCATAACACAAACGAAAATAAATCGATGAAAGTGTTAACGGAGTTTATCTCGAATAGGCCCACTGGACGTTTATTTTGCACAGGGCGTTTATTTGAAAAAACTTAAAATAAACACCCAATGGACTAAATATTCAGAGAGAAAAACATTATTCCTACGGGTAGAGGGAAAATAGCTTTCGCAAGCCGGCGGGTAATTATTTTGAGGGATATTATCGATCATGAAGTTGACACATCGCCTTCATACTCACGCAATAATTATAGTACATGAACACGACCATGAACGTTGGCTAATATGTGAACCTTTGTCATATTTTTGTTTCATGATGTCCAATTTACCCCACTCTTTAAAAAGCCACATAGGCGATCATTTCGGGAGTTTCTCAATTAACAAAAACAGATGTGGCTAACCTTTTCATACACCCCTCTTTCAAATAAACGTTCATGTAGGCTAATGTGCCTATTTGCGGCAAACTCCTGGCAGTGTATGACCAAGTCCAAAATCATAACGCTAAATGAAGGTAAACTGATAACAAGGCAGAGGGTGAACAATACCGTACCTAAAACATAGCAGTGTTGGCTTGCTGACCCAGAAAGCAAGATGGCTGCCGAAAAGTTAATCAGTTCAACAATGTTTTTCTCTTAGAACAAATTATATTGTTATTGTTCAAAAAGTTCACCATATCGATACTAATCCTTTGAAGTAAATCTATTAAGTGGTTTTCCTGGAATCGCGATGACAAGATTTATCTAAGAACTTCCAAAATGGCCACCAAATGCAAAATGGCTGCCGAAAAGTTAATCAGCTCTAGAGCTTTTTACCATGTAACCTGTGTGAAAATCAGCTCTAGAACATCTCACTATGTAACATGTATGAAAATATGAAGTAATGACAAGAAGGTGAGACGCCGCCCGCCCGCCCGTCGAGCTGACGACAATATCGTACCTTTTTAGATACGATAAAAATGTTACCGATGTTTGTCGCGAATATGCCCACTTTTTACAGGGTGTTAAATAAACCATTTACACTATTGCTCGAAATTAGGCAGTCATTATTTGTTTAGTATTGTTTAGAGCTATTAATTATGGGCAACCTTATCATGGCAGACTCACTTTTCAAATTCTAATCAATATCATTGACACACAATTTTGAATGCCCTTCTATGTTTCTAATAAAGGGTTTGATCTTATGTTAAAATGAGTTCATAATATTGGAATAATATGTGTCTTCTATTGCCGTAAAACACTATTGGAGCCAGCTAAAAGTCAAATTACCGTGTTCACATTTCAAGGTTTCTTCAATATGCTAGTCAATGTCAGATATACCAGTGTTACTAATTACTATCACTAAACCATTTTGTAAACTGATAAAAGGATATTCAACTTTTCTTGTCGAAACCAAAAAGCAAATCTGGTATTAACAAGTTAAAGAAACTGCATTATTTTTGGCTTGTTTTTGTTTATTTGATAATTCCAGATTTGAAGATACAATTAAAATTCCATATTTACCTCATGCGGCTTATCACTTCAGGTAAACGTCTCGAAATCTATCAATTTTTATGCTATATTTATCAGGTCACATGAGCTTGTGGACTGCACTGTGATCTAAATACAATTAATTAACAATTACATGATGTAAAAAAAGATAACATTGTATGCGTTTCATTTGGATGAAATATTTATAATTTGGTCAATAAAAAGCTATTCATTGCAATGTAATATGCATTTGTAATAGGTCAACATCAAAGTAATGAATTCATACACATTCCTCTCTACCAGTAAAATGAGGTTCTCAAATCCCTTAAGCCTTGTATTTTGGGCCTTTTACACCTTATGCTTTAGGAATTCTTATACTTTGGGCCTATTATATAGTAATTTAGAAATTCTTATGCCTTATACTTTGGACTTCTCATACCTTATGTTTTTCGGATTTCTTATACCTCGCACCTTTTATACCTTATGTTTTAGGAGTCCATGCACCTCATCCTTTAGACTTTTATACCTTATGTTTTAGGAGTTCACGTAGGGTTTAAGAAAACACCGACCACCGACCAGTCACTCTCCACAGTTGGGTACACGTGAAAAGATGAAAAGCTGCAAAATTAGAAAGAGTAAAACTAAAACTGAGAATCCAATGACTATAGTACCTTTATACTTATAAGGTCGTGATTTAAAAATGTATTTAAAATCACGAGCAAAAACATCGTCGTGATGTATAATGTCATATTTTTTAAGTTCATTAATATGAAACACAATAACAAAAGCACACTTTACATTGTGGGTGTTCACGTCGTAACGTAATGTTTGATTTCTCAGAACTTTGCTAAACGTCAACTGGTAAAAACTACATTCAATATGACAAAAAAAGCTTTCTAATGGTGTACTGAAATGGTTAGTCAGTTTTAATCCCGATAAGAGAACGCACGTAACATTACATCGTGTTCAGAATCAGTAGGCTATGACGATAACAAATCATTTTTATTTCGAAATTGTACGCTAGATTTCATTACAAAATTAGGATAGATTCCCGTAGAAACAATAAGTTGGTTGATGGTAGGTCAGGAACCTATAGTGTGTGCCAAAACCCCAGAAAATCACAAAAACCTATGTTGTGGTAGCTTACTATGAAGTGACCCATTATCATTATAGATTGGTCCATCAACTATTCATTTTTACTTGTCTGCACTCAAAAAGGTGACACGAAAGGGCTAAACGGCTTGCACCAAGGTGCAACCATCAAAAAGATGAGTTTGATAAAAAATTATTTTTTTCAAATAATAGCAATGGGTATACAATATAGGAGGCAAATTTGGTATTGATAAGTATGATAGTCCATTTGCGTGTGGCCATTTTTATAAAAAACAATAATTGTGAAGAATTATTTATTTCTGACCTGAAAATACCATATTTATTCAAAAGTCATGGTTGTTAATGATAATATTCCTATTTCACCTATTCAATGTTTTCAAAATATTTTAATTGCCATTATATTCATTTTTGGCAAAGTAAATAAATATAGGGCTCACACAAGGATCAACTTTATTTGCAATATTTTCATATTTAGTGATGTTTTGAAAAAATATAAGGTTAAACACAATTTTATTTGTTAAATGTTTAGCAAAATAAACAGAGTGTGTTTATTTCATTGTTTTGACTGAAAAATCGCAATTCATTGCTCTTCCTCTAAGAACGGCAGGGGATATTCAAGTACATAAACAGTCTTAAAAAACGTTGATCCTTGTGTAAGCCCTACACTTATTTACTTTGCCAGAAACTGATATAATGGTTATTCGGTGGTATGAAAATCATTTCAGAGGTAAAATAGGAAGAATGTCTTTGAACTTGGAATAAAAAGCATTATATGGTTAGAAATACCCAATTTTTACCATAATTGTTTTTAATAATATAACCATACCCTCATGGACTATCTTTACATTTTAATAACCAATGTGCATTATATTTTGCATGTTTTACTGCAATTATTTGTAAAAATATTTTTAAATCTTACATTTTTGACTGGAAAGTGAAGAGACAATACTCAAATATACTCATATTATTGGTCACATTTGGTTATTTCACCCAAACAGATTCGGGATTTTTTAGTCCAGGCATATGAAGAAAGTAGTGTGAATTAAATGGTCATATTATACAATACAATACAATACTGATCCAATTCAGAATTACTAGAGAAAGTAACTCTCGTGGCTGTTGATTACTGATTGCAGTCATTAAACTAATGACCTCATATTTGGATGTCCTCTCTTCTGATATGATTTTACAATTCACTTCAAATTGGCAAAGGACCAGGTATAGTATGGCAAGTGATATCTGATCGTCATATATTTTACCATGACTACTTTCTCAATATAAATATGACATTTCTCAAAAACACAATATGTTATCTTTCAAGAAAATTTGTTTCTCAATGATTATAAAAATATCATTCAAACGATCTAAAAAAAATATGAATGGGGAACCCATCTCAACATTTTTTTGAAATTATTTACTCAACAGAGGTTCTTCTTTTTTATTTGAATTGCATGAAAATATTATTCAACAAGTGGTCTAAAACTTTTTCATTAGTAGAATTGTAATGAAAGTCTAGTTTTGGAGATATCAATTTTCAATGACCACAATTATGTTGAAAACAATGGATAGTTTGAGTTTTTCCTATGGAAAATAACATGGAACTTGTGGTTTTTAACTTTATCGCATTTCAATACCCGTCCCCTTTTCAGAATTTGTTAATTCATTAGCGTAGAAGAACTTTTGATATATTCGAATTAAGAAAAATACTTTAGAAAATAAGCCTAATATTTTTCAAAAAGTGACAAGGTGGGGATCTTATCAATAATATTTCAGATATATTTTCAAATATTTATATTTTCAATTTCAATTTATTGATACATTCAAGCATTATGTTTACGAATGTTATTAATAACAGGTGGCACCACATTTGATGCTTATACCCGCACATATAGTAGTAAAATCATGTAGTGTATCATTAAGTTGTCAAGGAATCAAACCAGAATGAAATCATAAAAAATAAGTTGAAAAATAAAGGTTGAGGGGGATTCATGATGTTTTTTCTTTTCAAGTGAAGAAGTTGGATGATATCATTTTTATCACAGGGACTTTACATAAGAAAAATCATATTGTTTTCACAAAAACACGTCCAGCCCCAAAACGCCAAATACTAATTAGATATTGAGCTATGACCTTGAAATGATCTTGATCCATAAACATTGACTTATAGATCTCTGGTCAATTTATCATTGGTCATTAAATAGGACTGTAGCGCCACATTTGCCAACTACTTAGATACTGACCTTGAAATGACCTTGACACCAGGTCACCTAATCATTGGTCGCCAAAGGTCACAATTGTTCTCAATTGCCTTTAAACTCAAAATTGCGAGATATTGACCTTGGAAGTCACCCTATCATGAGTTGCTAGGGTTACACATTCATGATTCACAAAGGGTAACCTCAGCCCAAAAACGCCAAATATTTAGATATTGATGACCTTGAAATGATCTTGACCTATAGACCTTGACCCTGACAACAGGTCACCTAAAAATCGGTTGTCAAGGGTCAGAATTGTTCTCAATTGCCTTAAAACACCAAATTGCTAGATATTGACCTTGAAATTCACCCATTCAGTTGATCTTTACCTCAGGTCACATAATCATCGGTTGTGAAGGGTCACACCATCGGCAAAATGTCTTAAAATGCCAACTATCCTAGATATTGATATTTTAAACTTGAAATTACCCTGACTTTTGACCTATGTAGAATACACATTTTATGAACAAAACATAGTACGAAGTTGAAAACTGATCTTTTTGAAATGAAATTGCTGCTAATGTTTCAAAACTAAGGTATCGTTATTGCAAAAGTACTATTCAAATTGAATAAACCAAAAGAGATAGACTTAAAATAATTAATCTTCCATCAGATTTAGTAAAATTATAACTCTTAAGTAAATGTTGCAATGAATGCTCACACATATCTTGTTGTATATCAATCTAGTGCAACTGCTACAGGTATCACTCTGACACGTATCTGTGAACAAATCAAACTTCTTTGATGTTGATGTAATGCAAATTGGTATCTTTTAATATGACGTCTGTAAGATAAACCATCAATACTAGGATTGTCATAATAAAATCAATTCCCGTCTCATCACTGTCACACCCATTACTACAAGATGATGCCTCTAAGATCACTGTCTGCAAGCTATAAACTAAGTGATGCACTATATGCTCGTAATACTTTTTTATTCAAAATCAAAAGTCAATGATGCTTTTCCTATTTTACCTATTAAATGATTTTTATATATCCGAATAACCATTATATACGTTTTTGACAAAGTAAGTAATTGTAGGGCTCACACAAGGATCAACTTTTTGAAGACATTTTCGTACTGGTGTAGACTCTCCTGCTTGCGAAGCAAGGGCGATGAATTGAGATTTTTCAGTCGAAACAAGAAAAGAAACATATAATTGTTTTTTCTTCAACAAATAAAAAATAAAATTGAGTTTACCTTCGTATCTTTTCAAAACATCACTTAATATGAAAATGCTATGAACAAAGTTGATCCTTGTGTGAGCCCTATAATTATTTACTTTGTCAAAAACTAATGAAATGGTTATTGGTATATTTAAAAAACACTGACTATATAAAATAGGAATAATATCCTTGACAACAGTAACTTTTTAATTGAAAACGCATTTTAAGGTCATAAATATCCAATTTTTTACCATAATTGTTTTTCATAAAATTACCACACCCGAATGGATTATCATTACACATCAATATCAAATTTGCATCTTATTTTGTATACTTACAAGTATTATTAAAAAAAATGTATATTTTTCAAACTCATCTTTTTGACGGTCGCACCTTGGTGCAAGCCGTATAGCCCTTTCGTGTCACTATTTTGACTGCAGACAAGTAAAAATGAATAGATAATAGATCAATCTAAAATGACTATGGGTCAATTCATAGTAAGCTACCACAACATAGGTTTAGCCTAACTAAGCCACTTAGAAAGCAATTTGGCACACACTACTAAGGCAGGACAATTGAATCGAGAGGAGATGGTCATGCCTGATTTGCTTGCCTTTCGTTGAAACGAACAAAATCGGTAAAAACGTTGCCTACGGTGACATTCGAAATCGAATTTATATTATTTTGAGGCTACACATATGCTCGGTCTTTTACATGATATGGTCGGTCTTTTACACATTTTCTTCAAACCCTGTTTTGAGGCTACAAGTGCAAAACACCGACCGGTCGGTCTTTTTCGTAAACCCGTTCAGGCACCTTATCCTTTAGACTTCTTTTACCTTATGGTTTAGGATTTATTTTATACCTTATCTCTTTAGATCCAATTTTTCAGAATCCACATAATCTGATAATGTATTTTTTATCTTTTAGGAGGTTTCATGTCTGATATCCCAACATGATTTAAATTAGTCAACTCTTTCATGTTTGACCAATACATTCCAGTTA